ATCACTGAGATATGTATTTGAAGTCCTATTTGCAGGATTACCGAACCAGCAGGTGCAAATGGGATTGTTAAGATACTCGTTTCAGTTTGTCTGCTCACTATTTTTAAAGCAAAACTTCACTTACTGAAATAGCCAAAATAGCCTAATGCTTTTTGATGAGGTGAAGTATTAGACTGAAGTTTTCACCGAATCGAAGATAGGATAGCAACACTTCTTCGTCTCCATAAACGTGTCGTTGGGCTTGAGAGTATTGTGTACTAAATATGCATCTGCGAATGTTGCTTAGTATGCAAAACAATCAATTTCGACGGTAGCTGAATCAATCACTGCCTTTTTTTATCGAAGAAAAAAAATACTAGCAGAGCAGTGGAATCGATTGTGTGATGGTAGAACGCATCTCTGGTATGGATGAGGACGCGGGTTCAAATCGCGCTTTATGACGATTTACGGAAATTACTCAACATTCTTAGACATATGTCGAGAATACCATAGCACTGCTATATAGCAATGGATTGTAAGACATTGCACGTTACTTTGCCTTCTGACCTTACGCCTTCAGTGTAACATGTTCGTCGTCAATTCGTTTATATGTAGCGGGTATACTCCCTCACAAGGGATTGACTGAAACGAAAGGCTCTGTGCTACTGACGAAGCTGAAAGGGCGAAACGTACATTTAGTACTATATAAGTGCCATGAGTGACCTCACGAAAGGCTTGGAATGTCCTATCAAAATTCTTCATTATGTACTAATTAATCGTCGCACGATGCATTGAACTCACTCGTTAAACGTAGTGATGACGACATATTTTATTGTAGCCTGAAGTATGTATTCGAGATAGCTTCAGTAGTCCGACAAGAACAAGGCGACTCTTCGCCGCTTAGTCAGCTTGAAGCCCATCTAACGTGCTGTATCTGCTTGAAAGTACTCTTCAGACCCATCAAGTAGGTTTCATTTCTGACAGCTAGTTAGTTCTATTGTCTGTCATCATGTAAAAAAGGCCCGCACACGATTGACTCTATCAGTTGGTTATGAAAAAGGAGAACAAGTGCCAAAGCTAGCCGAGCGAAAATTTCAATACTAAACCCGCGTAATAGGGTAAATTTAAGAGAACGTGTGTTATCACAAGAGTGCTGTGATACGTGCAAAATTTTGGGCCTGATGTGGCTTCGAACCCTGCATTTGTCGCTTCTGAGAGTGCTGTGGAAAGCTTAATAAGCCCCTGAAAAGAAAGATCGTGGATTGGAAGCCACTTCAGGTGACAAGCTTAGCTCGCCTCTGAACACTCTTATGGTTTCAATCTGAATCGTATGCCGTTGGTGAGAAAAACTAACAAAATATTAAGCTGAATATTGTGAAATATTCATTGCTTATGATTATATTCATTTGCTAGTGTTGCGTCTGTGAATATTCCTATTACAGTGTTGATCCATGTAATTATAAGTGCTGTTATTCGTGCGCGTTATTATGGCTCAGGCAGTCCTTCGGAAATTGTCCTCAGGTATTTGAAGCCGCATTTTTTCCATTTTATTGCTTCATATATCATGCATCTCTATAGATCTATATTTTGCATCCACCTTACCCTACTTACATTTCTTGTTGTGTACTCATTTTTTGTTTTTATAAATTTCAACTCGCTGCACGGAAACCATCTAATGGGTTGTGTGAAGAGTTCGACGTGTTCCGGAATTTTCATAAGATTTCTGCAAGAATACTGCACCATTTTGATATCGTACAACTGCACATCTTCTTACGGGCATTTTGTTGTACAACTTGCTTGTACTTGTTATATGATGAAATTCTCTTTGGAAGAACTTCGTTTGCTACTCATGCAAAAATTCGTTTAAATTTGTGTCCGGTTAACAAGCGAATTTCTTTCCAAAATGCCTCTAACTTCAAGGCAAGTGTAGGCATGTTTAGTACCAGAATGTTTGCATGGAATTGCGAAATTGAACGACGCTAAAGTCATGCAATTTCATTGCAAAATTAATAACAAAGACCAAAACTGCTCCAACCATGCATTTATAGCTCCATTTTAACTCATTTATTTTGACTCCATTGCGAACATTTTACCCGTCGTAGATATAGAAAGAAAGCAACAGCATTTGTGGCCTGGAACTAATAACTTTCAGCCCCATTTTCAAGCAGCTAAAAAAAACCGTTCAACAAATTGTCGTTCATAACACCGCTAACCATTTTGTTCTTTTTATTCTTAATAGTTCTTTCGTGGCTAGTATATTAATTACACGACCCGCTATCACATTCTACTATGCGTACCGCAGTAGTACCTCTAGCATGCGCTTGCTTGTTCGTCTTCTTTTTACAAAGACGAAGAAAACTCGGTCAAGCACGTCACCTTGCAATCTCGAGAGTGGTCTTCCTGTGGTGTTTCTTCTATAGGGCTTTGAATCTTGACCTTTTTCTCGTTCCTTGATATGTAAATGATACCTTTTCTTGCTCTCTTGACATTATTTTACAATTTCAAATCACGTTGGTTCGAAAACAAGGCTAATAAAGTGAACTGAAAACGTCACAGTTTACATCGGCCACTAACCGAAAATCCTAATCCTTCTCGACGATGCTCAATACATGCTTATCAACAAAGCGGAGTGCTGTACAAAACATGCTTATTGTTGTTTACCTAACTACTTCGTCCGTGTCGTGCAGCTTTTTTCAGGCCTTTCAAGATAGCTCTAACATACTATTACATATAGGCAATCTGATCGATATCCTGATATCCTTGCATTTGTTTGTATCAGATCAAATCACAGAGTTTCGGAATCAAGGACGTCTTCTTACACAGGATACTACACTGTTCCCGAGAGTTTGGGGGACTGCGCATCTATCTGTCAGCCGCCAGCCGTCACCGGCCTGGCCCGGGTAGTCGGAATGAATATATACCCAGTGTTATAGAGTGATGTGCAAAAGTTTAGCGCCAGGCGGGACTAGAGCCCGTACCTCATTCTTTCCGGGAATGTGTGCTCTATCCGTTACACTACTAACGCCCATTTTCCACATCTCTCTTTCTACGCTAAAGCTCACCGATCTGTCAGCCGCTAGCCGTCTACCCGGGCCAGGCCGTTGACGGCCGGCGGCTGACAGATAGATGCACTGTAACGTAGAAAGATCGTTATGCAAAATGGACGTCAAAGAGTAACGGATACAGCACGCATACCCGAAAAGAGTGAGGTGCGGGATCTAGTCCCGCCTGGCGCTAAAGTTTTGCACATCACTCAATATCACTAAGTTTATTTTGTGCGATATTTTCAACAGAAAGAACTTCCATATGCTAGGTAACAAGGTTAAGGCCATAATAATAAAATAATAAGTGATTATGAATAATAATATAATATGACATAGTAACCGATTACGGCACGTTTCAGAGAGTTCAAGACTTCTGCATTTTAGTCGGTGGGAAAACCATTCAGACCACCTACCTGGTTTCCTACACAAGCAGCTCATTTTCAATGTCCTAATATATAAAAATGTTTTGATAAAAAAGAAAAGAGTCCGAAGGCAAAAACATAACCAGAACTGATCTACTGAGTAGGAAAAACTCACCGTTTTCCTCAGCGAGTTGAGCAACATCGCCCGTCAGTGGGTGATGAGCAATGAGCATTACTCACAGCCCACTCTATGAGCACTATTATTACCATTATTAAAAAAAACGGTGGAGTCATAAATGTACACCTAATGTTTGGATGGTTGCAGGTGTGGTCATGAGTAGGAATGAAACGATTGACTCGATGCATGTAGGAGACTCCACAAGGAAGTCTAAGAGATGCTTATGAGCTCAGGTTTTACTTCAATGCGCGTTTCCGTTGCGCTCCGCTGCTCGTTGATCCCGAAACGACAATTCGGCCGCGGTCATGAAAGCGAGGGCTGTGAGTAGTGCCCATTGCTCATTGAGTGGGAACCACCCACTGACGGGCGACGTCGCTCAACTCGCTGGGGAAAACGGTGAGTTTTTTCTACTCAGTGGGTTATTTCTGGCTTTGTTTTCGCCTTCAGACCTTTTTCTTTTTTTATTATAACCTTTTTTTTTACCTAAGAACAACGAGAATGAGCTGCTTGTGTAGGAACCAGGTGGGGTCTGAATGGTTTTCCCACCGATTAAAATGCAGAAGTCTTAAAGTTTTTTAAACGTGCTGTTCATCCATTAATAAGCCAAACGCAAAACATGAAACGTTTAGGGACTATTTACAATCGGTTACTATGTCATATTATACTATTATTTATATTCACTCATTAATTTATTATTATGGCCTTATTTACATCTCTGATACTTTTCCAATTTTTGTCACTTACGAGTAGTTTTGCCGCATTAATGATTATGTCGACCTTTATGCTGACTCTCGAGAAAATTTTTTTTTCAGCAAAAAAGTTTCTAGCAAAAGTCGTGTATTTCTTTAAATGCATGCCTCCCCGAAGAGTTAACCTGTATTGGGACGGCGTATACCTGCGCTTGTATGAGAATGCTTGAAGACCCGAAAGTTCTAGTATTTTTAGTGGTTTTTCAGAGTAATATGTTGTTTCATATACACCTAAGGGAATTGAGTGGTGAGCAAACATGCGACCTCAGACGGGAGTCGAACCTGCGTTTCATCCATACCGAGGACGTGTGCTGCCACTGGGGTACATTGGCGCCACCACTCATTCTTCAATATCTCTATGACAGCTGTCGATCACCATTCTTTGAAAGGTTTAATGAGGTATGCGACATCGCTTTTTAAACCTAGTTAAGCTGACTATCAAAGACGGGTTCGACTCTCGTCTAAAGTCGTATTTTTGCTCACCACTCAATTCTTTTAGGTATACACAAAACAACATAACACCGTGGAAAAGGCAGTAAAAAACTAGAAATTTCGAGCATTGGTTGTTACAATGGCTGTCACCTCAACTGGGTTTATGAAGCAAAATCGCATACCCGACCAAACCTGTTAAAGATTGGTGGCTTACAGCTATCACATAGATATTGAGAATGACTGCTGGTGCGAATGTACCTTAATAGTGTAGTGGTAGAACGTCCGCGGTACGGATGAAACACGGGTTCAACTCCCGTCTAAGGTAGTGTTTTTGCTCACCACTCAAATCTCTCATGCCTGAAGACCTTTCTCGCTAAGAAAAAAATTTCTTCTTCTCTCTCTAGTAGTTATAAGAAAGCTCAAATCTCGACAATTTTGATGATATGCTAAATGATATAGCTCTCGGCGTTGATCCATTCAATATAGGTATCCGTCTTTAATTTCTATCTTCGTTTGAGGTGATTGCCAGTCTGGTACCAATTTACCGTTTCCGGAGGGATGGATGGATTGGTGAGCCATGAGCGCGAGATCAAACCATTAACCTCGTGTGCGGCGCTGAGCACCTCTAACCACTGCGACACATGCCCTCCTAATAATATGCTAGGCTACTCAAATGCCTGTTGATTGCGTTGTAGCAGCAAGGATAACATATGTATCACCATAATTTGCTTAATTTGCTCGTCGCTACCTCTGTATTCTGATGTGAAAATGTTGTCGAGCAGAACCACCTTGTTCGTCTTTCAAAATCAGCCGTGTTAGTTCTTCACCTAATGTTATCCTTTTTATTTTGTTTTTTTCTGCTTGTCCTCTGTCCATTGAAATTACTAGTAGATATCGAGTATTCGAGCATAACGAGTGGTTAAACCCGATCCAATCATCAAACTGATTATAGCTATAGTGGCGCGGCAGTACTGTTTATATTAATTGAAAGATTCTTGTAGAAGAGATTTTAGATCATTTTCCTCACTACAATGGACTGGTTTCTTTTCCGTATGACTGCTGAAGATATCATTACAGCGCAAGAATACCTAGAGGTATACGAATATTTTGTTTTAGTAGCTATTTGAATTTTCTATGTTATTATACTACTCTTCATAATACACAGTCGCAGCCTTGTTTAGAGAGCAGATGATTCTCACATTTTTTCGGTGCGAAGACCAGTTCAAGTAGTCAGACCCGTCTACTGGTATGTTATTCTTAGTTCCTGAATTATAAATGTCGCTCTTCAAAACCTATTTTTCTGTGTTCGCCTCAGTGATTTTTTGTTCATCTTCATTTGGCTGATTGTTCCAGGAAAATTCGTCTATAGCAGATTATTCACAAATAATTAGCGTACGAAATAGCAGAATAACTTCCGCTTAAACTTAACCGAATTGTATGATTTTCCCACTAGGTTTTGGCCGGATATTATTTGAGTTCTTGTCTACTATAAGGTGACTGATGAAAAATTGATCTCATTTGCTCGACGGGAATTTTTCATAGGTGTATTAGTAATCACGAGAAAGCTTTAGTCTTTGGCTATAGCCACACCTAGTCGGTTTTCGAAAAAACCTCTTTTTGACGTTGTTACAAGTGAGAACCCTTCGCAGTTTACAAGCCCATTTTTCTCCTAAGACAAAACTGTTTCTTTGGACTACTAGTAGTCATTCGCTAGCGTAATGTTTGCTGATTCCAAAACTTGTATTTTGGGAAGACTGTTTCTCTCCAAAGCAAAAGGGAAAATAAGATTGATTCGTATGTGCGAGCAAGTGATCTTTGGCCAATAGGGGTCGCTGGATGGAGCAGCAGGGTGGGCTGACGCGTTGATCGATCGATTTTCGAGCATATGAACGTGTAAAAAGATCCTCTTAGTGTCTAAACATGAGTCAGTGTTGGAAGCAAGTAGGCTTTCTGACCTCTTGAATTTCATCAAAGTGATCATAATGATGACCGATTTAACCGTAATCATGGCAAAATAGTTCTTAAAGTCTTTTTGTGATAGAGTCACACCTTTAATCAGTAGTTCTTTTTCAAAGTGGTGAAACAATTCCTAATCAAATAACGAAGATTGCACTGACATAAAACCGGTCGATTATCGGTCGATAATTGTGCAACCTCTATTGTCGCCTCACCCTGCAGCTCGTAAATTGGCCAAAGTCCGTTGGCTCGCTCATGCCAAATCAATTTTATCTAATCCGCCACTCTGCACAGAAGCGGTCTTTTCAAAAAATTAGCGCAGCATTAAATTAAACAAGTATTACGTTTTCAAACGATCACTAATGAAAAAAAAAGGAAGAGCTCTATCTTGCGAGGGAAGTGCGTGTGTGAAACGCAATGCTACCGCGCTCCCCCAGCTACCACTAAGTTGTGTCTAGCCATTACATGTCATTAACCATCATTAGTGCTATAAATTATGGTACTGGCATCACCTGATGCAGAATATTTGAGGTGCTTTGAAATATTTTGTATTTTTCTGCGGAAATAATGCATTTTCTTCAGGCAAAGTTTTGCAAGCTTTCACTGATTTTGTGAATTTCCTACTCATTATTTCATAATTAACTTCATCAGCGTTAACTGGTAACAAATATCTTTGCTCATACATGAACATTAGTCAACATTTTACTTTTGTTACGTTGTTTTGTAGTGTGCAGCAACAAATAAACATCCTGCTCCTTCAATAAACTATTATTAGCCATTTCATAGCTAGAAAAATGGAGATTTCGGTACCGAGTTTAGTTTCTGCGAAGCCCCTTTAGTGCACAGTACTAGCGAAAAAAATTACTCCTAGCTTTTGGAGTGGTTAACTCGTTATGCGAACTTCACATCTTGAAAGAGATATAGTGAAATTCAAATAGCAGTACCTTTCAATCCACCATTTTGATACCCCGCTTAAAATTTGATATAGTCTGATAAAATGTTGTACCATTTTCAACAGGTCTGTTATGTGGTATCCCTAATGGTAGATGTACGCTTCGGCCTTCTCGCAAGCCTCATTCGTACGACGTGTCTAATAATTCGCCCCTACAACCAATGCTATCGCCGCCAAACATGAATTACTCCACATCGAGTGAAAAGGTCGCTCGATATTGCGTTCTAAGGTGACCTTCAGTCGATGGCTCACTGATGGTAAAAACGGCACGTAACAGTACGAACCCAAAGGTTCGAGAAACTACAACGTCACAGAAAATAACATATCGTTGTAGAGTTTTCTAAAACATATTTAGTGAGAAGAACGTACATGTTTCTCAGCGACTCGTGTTTTCCAAGAGGTAAACGATATCCCTTGGAAGCGGTATAGCCAGCTCTTACTGTGCATTCTGTCGCCTTTCTTGTGAGAGTGAGACCGTCTTTACTTGTTCATCAACCGGTTGATGGATATTATGTCTATTACAAAAACAGCTACACACTATTGAGCATAAGTAGTTCATAGAAGGCGATTGAGCGAGTAATTTTCACATGATTCTTTGAACACCTCTCATTGTAATCAAATACTACAGCATGAATCTGAACAGCACAGTCCTCTGCGCTCACCAATTATTCATTCATTACTGTTCTCTTAGTAGTGTGGTTGAGCACAACATCGATAACACTAGCTGGAGTTTTACGATTTTTCCTTTCTTTGCATTAGAGGGTCAAACTGACTCGCAACTTCCCTAGTCAACCACTTCCCAAGGCACCGCATGCCGAGTGACAACAATGAGCGAACGAGTAATCAAAAATCTTCCGTAACGCAAGTTTCCGAATTTCCATGGCATATATGGACTACGGACCATAGAATCCAACTCTGTGCATCGGAGCAGTAAAGATGTAGGAGGATACCTATAAATAGCGGCTCGGCGGATTAGGTCAGTAGGATGGTGGACGGCTACAGCTACCTGCAGGTGCCCACATTGTAGATATTTTGAGATATTGAAACTTGAGAGAGCTACAGGAAACTACCTGAAGGTAGACGGCTAAAAAATACATAGAACCACGCAAAATCAGTGGTCATGTCCAATGTCAAAGGTTGCGAGGACAAATAGTGTTCTTAGCAAAGTGTAAGTGCATATATGAATATATAAATTACAAATATCATGAAGCAATAGGAAGAAGTTCGACAGAACATCTTAAGCCTCTTCTTTCAAATTATATTATTTCAAACGAAGTTCCAAAAACAGTTGATTAGAAAGGTATTGCTAAACGCCATTTACCAGCCATGAACAATCGACTGTTGATCACCGCAGGGTTCAATGATCTGTTCACTTACGTGGAGTGGTACATGTTCTGCGCCGCTACCCTTAGTTGTAGGGGTGAACTAAAAGGCGTGTGCTACTGACAAGGTTTGTGGGTATGGTCCGAAACATACATGAAGCATTAGTGACGCCATTACAGACTTCTGGGTGACTTAAAATGTTCTATCAGATTATATTATTCCAAGCGAGGTCGCAAGAACAGTTGTTTGGAAAGAAAATGCCTGTTCTATAGTTCTACATAAGTCCCAACTTCTGAGGCATGCTGATTTTGATGAAGACTATAAAAATTTATTAGCGACTGATCTGGCATTCAGAGTGCATCGCCATTTTCCACCAACCATTTGTTGTTTTCCAATTCTGATATCTTTGATAACTTTGGGGCATCGATAAGGATATTAATTGTCTTGAGCCGATAGTCTATATAGGCGCCTATTTCGTCCTATTGGGATTCATCAGTAGCACCCTCCCTTGGTTCCGTCGATCCCTTAAGGTGAAATAATCCTCTAAAGGAATCGGCGCCGAGTAAAAACTAAGCACCCAAAGTAGGATGATGGTATTACCTGACTTTGTGGTGACCGGCAGTCGAGCTTGCGAGGGAGGGTGCTACTGATGAGTCCCAATAGGGCGAAATAGGCGCCTATATAGCACTAGACCTATCGGCTCAAAACAAGTAATATCCTTATCAGATTAATTCATTTTGTGCGGGTCTGTAAAAAAGCAGCCGATAGCAGAAGTTTGGGGCATCGCATATGATCGAAATATCAGAACTTGACGATTCATTCGCAATATCCTCTGTACAACTTATTGCACGTATTTGAATGCTAATAGGTTGGGGAAAAGGTTGAGTAAATGCTTCTAACTTCTTGGCTGCCTGCCATTTTGTGTTTTGGACCCATTTGAAAGCCCATCTTCTCCCGCGTTGATTGGTATATAATTTGTCTACTTGTTTCAAGATGTAGTAGACGAGCGAGCAAATCAGGTTGTGATGATGCACGATGGCTGTTGTGTTCAAACGCAACGGTGGCAAGTGAACGCATCAGTCTAGCTTGGAGCA